AGATATACTACAATTCCACGGTGAAATGTTTACGAGCCTAAATTATAAAATACATTCCCTTTATTGCATTTTAAATAGTCCTTTTCAGAATGTTGAATTAAAAGCCCCAAAAAATACAAATGAAATACTGTACATACATGTGAACTACCAAAAGATTTGTAATTCTGTGCAGTAATTTTTATGATCCAGGCACCTGTACTGGACAGCATAGCCAGGTCCTTGACCTCATCCACAGCAAAATAGCTTGGTCAAGAACATCCCAGCCTGATTGGTTTATCAAGGAGCAACAGAACAATGATTAGATCATTACTATAGCCAATGTATTTGTCAGTCGGTGCTCACTGCAGCAGAACCTGACTGTTAGTGCTGTTCCTCCCACTTTCACTGCTACTGTACATGGAACTGGTGTATAATACCATGTTTCCCCGAAAATAAGACCTACCCTGTAAATAAGACCTAGTAATATTTTTTGTAATTGCTAAAATATAAGACCTACCCCGAAAATAAGACCTAGTTGTGGCCGGTGGTGGCATAAGGGAGGAACTTGAAGAGCCGCAGGAGAGTATCAGCGGAGCCAGCATAAGCCAGAGGAAGCGAGGCGGCAGCGGAGGGAGCAGAGCCGCATAAGCCGATGCTTCCTCTATAGCGCCGGTTCCGGTCAGGCGGAGTGATTCCAAATGCTCTCCACCTGTGAGGAATCATACTGAAAGCACTCATTGTAAACAATAGAAATGGTACTCACAAGAGTAAATGGATAAAAGCCTTAGGACCATGAACCAGAGTGAGGCAAGTGGAAGTTGGCAAAACCATTCCACTTGCCAGTGCCAGTGAAAGATGCCTGTGTTGACGCGTTTCCAGGGCACGCCCCCTTCGTCAGATTCTGGGCGTTCATGGTCCTAAGGCTTTTATCCATTTACTCTTGTGAGTACCATTTCTATTGTTTGCCTGTACCTGAATAAAATGTATCTGCACTAGGGAAGGCGCCCTGTTTGTGCTTCTTTTCTAGATACCACAGTCTCCCTGGCTGAAGTGGGGCAGCATCCTGCAGTATGCACCTTTACTAAACTCTTCAGAGGAGTGGTTGTCCCTGGCGCTGTTTGTTTTACTTGTTCTGTATATGATGTTAGTTAAAACAACGCTACCAGTAAAATAAATAAAGAAAATGTGTTCTTTTTTAATCCCTATTAAATGTTAGTTAACTCCAATTAGCTCTAATTAACATCTTAATCCCCTAGCAATAATTTATCTGATGATTTTTTTAAGTTTTTTTAACCATTTATATTTAAACTTTTTTCTTATTATTTCTATTCATGTTGTACGTTACTTTTAAATGCACAAATGCAACTAAAATGTTTATTTTTGTGTATATACCTTTGCCTTGCTTTGTATTAGAAACATAATGTTAATGTTATTATAAACTGGACAAATAAGAGAATAAAATGTATACCTAATACCTACAGTAACACTAGTTGTTTTACAAATAGAAAAAAATATATTTTTTTTGTTTTGATACTTTTTTTAATTGCATAGAAAAAAAAAACATGTTTTTCAATTATTTGCAAGAAAAAACTGTTATCCATTTTTATCTATGTTTAAGTAATGGCAAAGTTATTTCCAAATCAATAGGCCCATAGCAGAAATGTAAAAATTGCTCTGGTGTACAGGGGTATACAGGTGTAGGGAAGTGGCTAAGCTCATTATTACCCCCTTCCCTTCTAAAACAACCACAGTGCAGGTCAAGACACTTGTAGGGGAAGCTAACAAGTGAGTGATACGTCAGACGCAGAATGTCAGGCAGAATAGTGACACTGCTACATTTGAATTGCTATCTTGACTCTGTTAAAATTCAACATTCAAAGCATAGAAGGGGGTGTGCACTTTGGAATCTTCACCTTGGTTTCTAAAAACCTTGTCTCGCCACTGCTGAAACCTAATGTGCCAGAAAGATGATTCATGATCAGTGGATATTTGCAGGAATGAAAAATTCCAGAGCAGGTAACAGCAGTAAAGGTTGACCATATCTACATAATAAATGTAAGCAGAATATGAACATAGAAACTGCATGGGTTGTTTTTATATAAAATATATAACCAAAGCCAAAGCCGAGTTTGTTCCATATGGTGACCAATAAGGCCCCTTTCAGACAGGCCCCTTCAGTTCTGATCTGCAGGGTATGCATGCATGAATCCCCTGCTGATTGGAGCAGATGTCACCATTGTGGCATCTGTGTCTGTCCAGTTTTTTCCTCCATCTTGCAATGGAGGAAAAAATTGATCTTACCGGAAAGATGTTGGTCAATGAGGAATCAGATGTAAACAGACATATGTCTATTTACATCAGAATACTTCTGATCCAGTCTGGTCCATCAAAACGGAACTCTGATTTATTTGTTTTTCAGCACCTGGCCGTGTCGGGGAAACTAGATGCAAACTCATATCCAATTAGATCCAGCTGCCCATATACTAACATCCGGCTTGTTTTCAGGTCCGCCTGAAAAACTGACACACGGACCTGATTGGAATGCCCGTGTGAAAGGGGCCCAAGGTGTATTATTACATTTTTTAGGAAAATAAACTTAGCACTTTGTCATTATGGGCAACATCCCAGATTCTCCCTCTAGTTTCTAAAGATCCCATTTTCTGTCTAAGAAGAAACACCACTAAACAGGTGTGCTACAGATTTGCACAAATGTAGTGTTGTATTGTAGTTTGATCAGACTGAGAGGCTTAAAATGTTCTCACTTTAGATTTTAAAATGTTGGGAGGTATGTACAGTAATTCTGAATTCTGCTCTTTCAAAGCAAGTACAAATGTGCAGCTATTTAATGTAGAGAAAGTCTCCAGAGAACTCCTGTGGCTTTTCTTTGTCACTATAACGTGCAGCATTTTATATACTAGACAACAATACAATATACTGTACTATCTTGTTATTTCAGGTTTGATAAGTTAATAACTGGGTTTCTGATATTCTCCTTCTTTGAAATGTGGCTTATGGTTTATTCTGGTCAACTCATTGTGGTTTTTTACTGCTCATTATATGACTGATAATAAAGAAGAGATTAATTTGCCTGTGTGAAAGCAAGGATTGCCTTCTTATAAACTATGTACTCTGCATTTTCCTTGTGCTGTAGAATTCTGCAAATGACAACAGTGACATCTTGTGGTCAGACTGCCCCATTAATTGTATGTATACTTGGTATCTAGGGACTGTGCAGGATATGGCTGAGTTTTATATTACTTTGCACAAATAACTACCTTTTGCTTTCTTAATGTTTGAAAAATAACATATTGTAGTCATATTTTTGGTTATTGATTTGAGAGTGTTAGCTTTTAATTAATTTCCTAAGAAATATTGGGGTGTCCAAGGGCTGGTCCCAAGCATACAACATGGTAGAACATTAGCTTCCAGTGCCACCAATTGCTGGAACAGCTCCTATATAAGGTGTAGGTGGGTGTTCTTGGTGAACTCAATGCCTATTTCTTATTATAGAGCGAAGAGCATAACTATGTCTGATGGAGCCCGATAGCAAAACATTTACAGGGCTCCACTCCAATCCAAACTCCCTCCTCTAGTAATAGATTACAAACTGCTTCCATGGCAATTACATAGAGGTTCTCAAACTATATTTATTCATTTCATCCAAATGTATTTCCCAGATACAACTAATACAGTACATGCATAAATTGCTGTGTAGCTACACAATGTTGGGTCTGCTGCAGCTTTAGATATGCCCTTGGAAAGGGCAGTGGGTGCAACAAATATTGTCAATCCACTGACTTCCAAACCTGTCAGTCAAACCCAAGAATAGACTAAGGTCTGTACATGCACTAGAGACATAAGGGTTATCTCCTTAAGTCCTCACAGGATTATCAGTCACCGAACTTGTGAACGGTGTTTCAGGAGTATGGAGATTGTTTTTAGGTACTTGCCAGAACTTTGTTGAACCTTGCATAGGGCAATCTATAATGATAAAGCCTTTAACTTTAAATCTCACAGTAGTTATTGCTCTAAACATGTGTAGAAGAACCATGGGAATTTTGATTTATAAGTAACAATGTTTTACAAGCTTCCAAAATTCTTACATTGAATGTTAGGAAAAAACAGGTAATATGTCTCAAAGTAGGGCTGGAATTGTTTCAGAAGAAAACTGCAGAACATTTGTACATATCATTAGTAGTGTTACATGTAGAAGACGAGGGGTATTGATTCCCTGTATAACGCTTCAGTCAGACATCACTTCAAATAGTGTGCTTGATTTATTGAAGTGTCAGAGGAAATTAACTGCCTATGACAATCAGTATTGCATCAACTCAACCACTCAGATTCATATTTGCACTGGGAAATGTCAGTTAAAGAATGGAAGTTTGCATTTGTTTGGTTGCTGTAGACTAGCACAGCCTGAGAAAGTTTACCGTTCAAATCTGTTAATGAAAAAGCCCAATAATATACTGTTTTAGAGATTTCATTTATGGAAGACATTGTTTAAGCAGACAAAAATGATCCACAATCTTCAACACAAATGTATGCCACATACCATCCAAATCCACAATGAATATCCAATAAACATCCAAAATTAGAAGCTGTACACCACCATTCCACCTTCTAAACAATCTAAGATAATTTTGGACACCTAAACATGTCAATGGGTGGAGTATGTGGAGCTGTTCAATAGGTGGTTTTGTGGTGTGCGGGCTCTGTTTTAGGCCGTAATCACCAACAAAATTTGATTTGAAGGCCTTCCTAAACAATCTACTCAATCTAACAATCAATCTAACAGTAGGGCCCCTAATGCTATAGTTGTAGTAAGTCTAAAGGATATTGTAGAATAAGTTTGTAATAATGGTCATCTTACACAAATGTAATTATAAATAAAAGAATGAAGTGAATTACAAAGATAATTTCCCATCTGTACCTGCTGGTGATTTTTTGTAAATGTAAGATAGTAAGAACAATCTGAGGATGAGACAGGTACTCATGAACTTACCCTTCTTGTTTTGCAGTGGTTGCGGAATCCCGGCCCCCAACATGAGAAGAGAACTCTGTTTGGAGACATGGTTTGCTTCCTATTCATAACCCCACTTGCTACCATCTCTGGGTGGTTGTGTCTTCGAGGAGCTGTGGATCATCTGCACTTCAGTAGTCGCCTAGAAGCAGTTGGACTCATTGCACTCACAGTTGCACTCTTTACAATTTACCTCTTTTGGACACTTGTGAGTATTGTATGTGTTTATTTTTACCCATTCATTCACTATAGTAATATAAATGGTCTGTTTCTGGCGTGGATAACTTTAGCTGTTTTTCCTTTCCTTGAATACTATTAAGGACATTTACACTAAAGATCACCACAATATGGATATAGGTTAGCTGAAAACACTATTTATGTTAATACACGGGTGGAAAACTTAATATGGAATTCAGGAGCTGGTTTGTCCAGTCCAGGAGCCAACAAATTTTTTTAGGAGCCAGTTGACAATAACTAGAGAAAACACCAAATGTTAAGCTGTAATTTTTAAGGAGCATTGGCTACCTGGCCCCTTGGATTTGTCTAGCCCTTTGTTAATATACGCAGAGCTGAATTGACATAGGGGCTACTGGAGTGCCAGGTCCAGGCCCACCACTGAAAATAAGCCCAGTCGGACAGGATCGCCTCCGTTTGCCTCATGGCAATCCTGGCCGGCCGGGCTGAACACAATCAGACAGAGGCACCAGCAGCTTTCTAATCAGGCATATTAGGCAGCCATTCGCTGTGGCCTCCCCAGCAAGGAGCAAGCAGCCGTCTAATTAGAGAGCCGCCTCTGTTGGTCCTCGTCCGAGTGCCTGACAGCACCAGGCTTAGGATGCTCTTAATCCGGTCCTAAAGATACTAGATTTCTATAGGTCCCCAAGACTTACCTAATTACCATTTACCACTATAGCATATTTGAAGTCCCCTCATGGCTTTTGTCCACTGGTCCCCAATCTTTGTCAGGTGTCAAGAAATGTGTTGTAATGTCTTTTTCTTGGTTTACTGCTTATGGAAGACATATATTGCTGCAAATGTTCTGTAGAACTGGTCATTAGCACCTTCAGAGGCTAGTGGGAGCCACAAGAAAGACAGCAAAATGTAGTTCCCAGCCAATGGTTGGGGATCTTTTGATGTAGCTACTTCCAGTGAGCTTCAGCAAGTGCAGCAGTAATACTTAACAACCTGTCAATATGAGGCTGCAGCTCAGTCCTTGCTATAGCAGCAGTTTTTCCAGCAAGACAGATTTTTATGTGTGTCTCTATAACGTAAATTACCAGGCCACAGATAAAATTCCACCCAAAACCAATACAATAGAAATGCAGTCCCATGACATCCTTAGTGCCCACTCACTATATTATACAAATGCTCGCGTGGCTTCACACAGTCACAGCTATTGATGTACAGTTGAATGTTGTTTTTTTTAACATTCCCAGCCATCACTATGTGCAGAACAGATCATGCACTGAGACAATGAGACTGATGACATCAACATACCATGTCTGCTGCACCTGAACATGTCTACATAGAGGCAGCATATATTAACACATGGATGTAAAGTCAGTAGGAGGACTTCAGTCACATTGCCTCAGAGTGTGGCAAAGAGGCTCTGTTAGGACTGTTACACTTTCTCCTACTTATCTGCATACTTTTTCTGGGTCAGTGATGACTTCAGTATAGAAGTAAGAGGGTCAGCTTGACAGCCAGGCACCTAGCTGACTTTATGTTTTCAGTTGTTTTTAAAAAAATAAGACCTACAAAAGTAAAATGACTGCTAAAGTTTAGGTGTTTAGAACATGTACATTATTTTCCCCAGATTTAATAAAGAATACCTAGGTTTTCATGTGTTTCATGTCGCTTCTGGATTAGTTTTACTAATTGCAAACGCCAGTGAGGAAGCATTTCTTTAATGTTTTAAGATGTATTCTTGTGTTTCCATTATATCGACAGCCATTTATTTGGTACACATGTGATTGCTTTTGCTTATTTAGTTTGCTTTTTTATACACATAATGGAGCAGCGTAAGGGATAGTGCACATGGGCAGTCTTCAGACATCCATACTTTAACCAATCGAGCATGCTTTTACCAATATAGGGTGGTATATCAAACATGTTCTCTGATTCTACTGTTACACTATATGGAGTTTGTGGACACCTAGCTATCTGAGCTTGCTGGCTATGCCATTTAAAAACCATGGGCATTATATTGGAGTAGGCCCACCCCTTTGTTGATAAAATAGCATTTGCTTTTCTGGGAAGGCTTTCCACAACATTTAGGGGGTTATTCACGATCGAGCCGAAGGATCCAGCTGTAGCTTCGGCTGATCCTTCGGCTTACTTCGGCCGCCGGAACCCTTCGGTTCAGTCACTATTCACTATAGCCCGTATAGCAGTCGCATATGCTTCAGCTCGGCTCAGCTGTAGTGACAGGCGAAGCGTGGAGAAAGTTCGGCCAAAGCCGACAAATCTCCACGCAAATGACAGCTGGGCGGAGCCAGCCATGATCGCACGGCTCGCTCCCCTCAGTTGTAATGACAGATCAGCGTCCCCAAATGACCTGGGGATGCTGATCTGTCATTAAACAATAACAACTGGGCGGAGCCGGCCATGACATCAGTTGTTATTCATTGGCTGGGACCTGTTAGAAGACTCTGGCAGGTGCCGACCAATAGGAAACAGTTGGGCGGAGCTAGCAGTGATGTGAGATGCTTGGTTGTGTGCGGTCAGGTCGGCGTGCATCGTTTTTTATTTTCCTTTTCTTTTAAATATATTGTAAAAAAATGTTTACATTTTATAAATAATTTTTCAACATTTTTTTTTTTTCCATTTAACTTTTTTTCTATTCTGCTCGCTACTTACTGCTATTCGGCCCCTATGAGAATAGGGGCGAACGGCAGTGAATGAGCTGCCGGAGCTTCGGCCCAGCCGATCCAGATGTTGGATCAGCTGAGTCAAACTCCTTTTGCACTTCGGCTCAGCCGAACATTCAGAGCATGTTAGGCCAGCCGAAGGCAGCCGATGTACGGCTGATTTTAGCCGATGTACATACAAGGCAGAAGTGAATAGCCTTTGGCAGCTAAGTGAATAACCCCCTTGGAGTGTATTTCTGTGGCAGTGTTTACCTATTTGGTCAAAAGAGCATTTGTGAGGTCAGATACTGATTTTGGATAAGAGGACCTAGCTTTTAATCGGTATTTCAATCCAAGTGATCAATAGTTTTGAGGTCAGGGCTCTGAGTCGACCACTTGAGTCCCTCCATACCAAACTCGTCTGTATGGACCTGTTTTTTTGCATAGGGGCACAGTCCTGCTGAAACAGAAAAGACATTTCCCAAACCGCTGCCAGAAGGTTGGAAGTGCACAATTGTCTAATATTTGTTGCTGTAGCATTACCAGTACTCTTCATATAATGAATGCAGGCAGGTTTAAAAATAAAAGTATTTAAAGGAGATATATGAGATGAGTGAAATACACTCATTCTAATGGGTAGAGCCGACGTGTGACCCTGAAGCTGGCACGTTTGCTCTGTTGATCGAGAAATTATCCATCACATACTGCTGATTGGTCAGTTCACGATCTTCTGTCAGTCATCACTACTTGCAGGGATTGCCCCCTCCCCTCTCTGTTCCTCCAGCACTGACTGGAGGGATAAAGAGGCAGAGCCAGCTGTCAATCAGGTAGCAGGGTGGATCCCAACAATATTGTCAGGATCCATCCTGGCTGCAGCACAGCTCTGCGCTGTCAGCATATAGCGGGCAATAGTCCGCTATATGCTGAGTTTTCGGTCACTGAAGGAGATTAGTAAATGTCCCCATGTGACCCAGAGCTATGGCTAAAAAAGTGTCCATAGTTTTAAATACTCTTTTAAATATCCTTGAATGGACTGGTGATACTGTGCTAAAGTCAATAAGCCAAGTCCGTTTATTTATATCTGAGAATCCAGGACGCCATCCCAGGTGAAAGAAGAGATTATCATTAATCAGTGTGGTCATGTGGCCGCGCTGATCAATCACTGCTTCCTACTGCAAGCCTCCCGTGCTGCGTAGTGGCTTTTTCAAGTGCTGGGAGCATTATAGAGGCTGGTATTTCAATTTTTGTGAAAAAGTGAACTAACCCTTTAATTCTCACAGTATATTTTTCATTAACCAACAGTTTACTTTTGTGATTCCTAAATGAACTTTAATAATTGCTTTTTTGTGTTTTCATAAATAATTGTACATTCTTGTCGTTTAATTCCAGGTGTCATTTAGATACCACTGTAGATTATACAATGAATGGCGTCGGACCAATCAGAGGGTTCTTCTGGTGATCCCTAAATCGATCAATTTACCTTCCAATCAGCAGTCGTTGCTGGGCCTGCACTCTCTCAAACGGAATTCTAAAGAGACGATAGTGTGACAATGGATTCTGGGGGACTTGTCTGGCAGCCACCCGCACTGTAGCACTATAACTCTCCCTCTTTTATCACTTGGACTTCATTCAGAGACTGTTAACCCCTAACATCCTCATTTCCTGGAGCAACAGAATCTAGTTTTAATTTAAGTGATGAATGCTGCAATTATGTATTTGCTAACTTGCCAAACTTGTTCCTTTAGCCGGTGGCATCCTGCATACGAGTCTCTAATACAGCAGCTATTAACTCCTATTTTGTTCTCTTATGACATTAAACGCGAGAATACGCAATTGTATTTTATTTTTTTTCCCAAGTCCTCTTTATTACAAGGCAAGACGTAAAGAGTACCTATCTCTTTAGGACAATGGAGGCAGTCACTTAATAACAGAAACGAAAAATCACGCCAGTGTTATACGTCACATTGATAAGAACAAAGGACATCATGGAAGCATGGGGTGTTTTCAGCGTCATACCTCGTCGCTTTTTGCCTACAAAAGAGCTGTCTCCATTTTTTGTAAAGGGCGGGTAAAACTTTACACACGTGGAAGGCGTAGAATTTAGCACAATATTTTTCTCCAGTGATGTACTTACTTGGAATTATAATATGCAGTCATTTTTATTTTTATTTTCTTCTGTTTTCAAGACATTTTATATAAATATATTTATGGTTTCTAAGCTATTTTTTTAAAACAAATATTTTTTCCAAGCCTGGCATTTACGGGATCGGCACTCCGAGAGGATGTACGTGATTGTAACACTGAATGGTGTCCGTTCCTTCCACACCTTACTTTGGTGGTGGTGCTGAAAGTGAGGATCTTGCTTCTGATCAGGTGGTGTCCAGCATCAGCTTTTGTTCTTACAAGACAGAGAGAGACATTCTTTTCCAGAAGTCCGCCCATTAACCCTTCCACTACTGGAATATCTCTGATCCGCCATTAGACTTTCAATATCACTGGGAGATGGCTACTTAGAAAAAATAAACTTCAATCATTTTTAAACAATTTCACATATACCTTATGAGTTATTATAAAATTGTGCATTATTTAAGTAATAAATACTATAAATTCTTGTGGCAAGTCTTTTATTGTATATTGGCAGAAAACACCTGCAGTGACGCTAAACTCAGGAGGAAATCTTAAAAATACATTCATGTATCCTAACTATTACCAAAAATGTATCTTATGTGTGTATCACTCGGCTGTAGATCCTCAAATCATCTCTGAATTGGTGCTGACACTGTCCTTCCTTCTGGAGGGTGGCTATTTTTGTTCCCCATGATGGTATGTGTGTAAAGTAGCCACCACTTTAAGCTCACTCCTGTGATGGACTGTAACTTCAATACAAATTAGTAAACTGAACAGGAGATTGTAGTCCATCACAGGAGCAAGCTTAGAATTTGCATAGTCACTCGTCCCGCAAAATTGCTTGTACATTCGTTTTGTGCGAGCGAATGGAGGCAAAAACGAATGTTATTAGCATATTGTTTTTCCAGATTGAATGTCATTTCGGGTAAAAAACACCTTATGGCCACTTGATGGAGCTGAGAAGCATAGAAGATAAAAATCTAGTGGCCATAATGCGGTAAATACACCCCTTGTTGAATTTCCATTGTTTAGACCAGGGTTAGAAAACCTCCGGCCCTCCAGCTGTGGTGAAACTATAAATCCCATGATGCATCTCTCCTCGGGAGTCATGTCTGTGGCTGTGAGAATCTTGCAATGCCTCATGGAATTTGTAGTTCCACCACAGCTGGAGGGCCGGAGGTTTGCTACCCCTGGTTTAGACTAACTACTGATCATTGGTATGCTTGTATAACCTCTTGCTCTGTAGGTATAATGGAAAAGCCTACATGTCAAAGGTAAAATCAAAGTCTTTTTTCCAGAACTAGTTGATAAAATATGCATTGATCCCCTGCTGATCAGAAATGAAAGGCACCCATGTGAAAGGGGCCTTAGGGAGATTCGCTCTCTCTAAAGGTGGCCATACACTTTACAACCCTCGCAAGACTTTTGTCTTGCGAGGGTTGTAAAGTTTTTAAAAAAACGTACGGTCTGCCCATCTAGGACAGGCAGATCGTACTTGCGATCATCGCAAGCCCTCCCCCTAGGGGGAGTGAGTAACTGAGCCGAAGTGAACCCTGCTTTTTTTTTTGCATATATCTACTGCTTGCTAGCAGTAGATACAGGTGAAACTCGAATAATTAGAATATCGTGCAAAGTTCATTTATTTCACTAATGCAACTTAAAAGGTGAAACTAATATATGAGATAGACTCATTACATGCAAAGCAAGATAATTCAAGCCGTGATTTGTCATAATTGTGATGATTATGGCTTACAGCTCATGAAAACCCCAAGAACCCCAAATCCACAACCTCAAAAAAGTAGATTATTACATGCAATCAATAAAACAAGGATTGTACATAGAACAATATCGGACCTCTGAAAAGTACAAGCATGCATATGTACTCAGTACTTGGTTGGGGCCCCTTTTGCAGCACTTACTGCAATTACTTTTGCCCGATATTCTAATTATTCGAGTTTCACCTGTATATGCAGAAACCCCTCATGGGTTTATATCATTTTGACTCGCATTTATGAAGGTCTATAAACATTTGTGTTAACCTCCTGATTATTGACTCTCTGTCTTTTCCCCTCCTCCTAGCTCTTTAGCAGCATAAGTTACAGCTTCAATTTACCTGGGACTTTCCACCTCGCCTCGAACATATCGGGCAGGAACATTATACACAGTCATGAAGTGTAAAACAAAGATAAATACAGTACAGTGTAACTGTTTTATGTAAAAGAAGTAAAAAAAGGTGCAAACACTAGCTAGCATGTTAAAGTCTGTAACTGTATAACAAGTTCTGGGGGGGCAGCAGCTAAACAGTAACTGTAGTTGTTGCTGGCACACACAAAAAGGTAGTCCTACAAAGGACTGTTGGGTATTTGAACTATGAACATGGGGAATGGGGGTACACAAGGATATATGTCCCAGCACACTGCAATCCACAGATGTTTTGTGCAATATAGCACAGTATAGTTCCATATAGCAATGAAATCCCCCTACACAGACTGTCAGTCTCCCTAAACCATTACAAAGTATGATTAGGAGTCTGTAGCACAGGTATTTATAGACATTCAGAAATGCAGGACTGACATTTCTGGTAAATGCTAAATCTGACTGGTATTTATGTGTAACTGAATGTGCAGCTATTGGAGGATTGTTATTGTTATGCTAACCAAGGAGTGGGTGTATGAACTCTTATTCCCTGGCCACGATCTTTGCTTGATTAGCTTCAATGAGCTACAAAGGTGATATTAAGGGTCTAATAGAGGACCTGGCACCAATAAAGTGCTATCACATAGGAGCTTGTGAGGGGGGTTGCAAGGCAAGCCAAAAGTTCTGTAGCACACTGTGAAAACTATGCTTGCCCCCTACTACCTCTTCACACAGAACCTCTGTCTCTCACTTTAGGCCTGTCTGGCATTTTTAATAAAGGAAATCATCTATATTGAATGGCAGCTATGGCAATAAGGAAATATATAAATGGTGCTTTGGTGCACACTACCGCACGTGCCTGTGTCAGAAGCAAATGTATGCTGCAGACCCCAAAATAAAAAAGCCCCTAGCAAAAAAAAGATAAGTACACCCAAAAAATAAACCATGAAACACTAAACTCCAACCAATTTTTTTGACCTAGCAGAAAACTTTAAAAAATGGATTAAAGTAAAATGAAAGAAAATAAAACAAAAAACAGACTTC